GGTGTAGTACCCGTCTGTTGGACAGGGGAAATAAAAACTCGTTTGTAACAAAGGATAAGAAATTGTGCTTCTGTTTTTTTTTCTTAACATAATAAACATTAAAATGCAACAAAAATACATAAACGTATCAATACTGAAAAGAAAGACATATTGTTTTCAAGAATTCCATCAACATGAAATTAGATGGGGGGTAACTCCCCTCATGACCTTCCTCGTGTCATCCTGTATCACTATGTCAAGTTTGGTGTTGATTGATAAAGAAATGTGGAAACGTATAAGGAACAGATATACACATACACACAAATTGATGTATATTTCTATAGATTTGTGAAAGAGAGAATGTGACAGGTGGGCGTGGCAACTGGTCTGACTTTTGAGTTTATGTTTCCATAAACAGATAAGACTGAAGACTATAAAAATTTGACTTTGTCTTGATAATATATATATACTATAATGAGTAATTAACGTTAAATTCAGCACGTCAGAGAGGGGTGTTGGAAAAGTAGAGGATGGGCAAAACGAAGCAAACAAATTTCATGATTCTCAGACAAGGGGAGATTGGGGATTTATTTGAATATTTCGTTTCAATATTAATAAATTAAAACTTATATAATATTAAAATTTAATTGGTCAAGTACATATTCATTTATAATAAACTAGTTTAATTAAATTTGAATATAACTCTGTAAAAGGTCGTGACATGCACACTTTGACCTGTAGAGATAGGGTTAAAGAATTTGGGACTACTAGCTGTAACATAGGCCGAGAATCACATAACACTTTCGTACATTCGTAACTACTTGTACAAGTACCTTACATTACATGCATCTGTGATATGTTCCTCAATCTGAGCTGGTCGCATCTTACTTTGCTGCATGACAAGGAGGACCTATGCTAGATATGAGTTGTTTAGTTATTCTACCTGGAGATTCTGAAGATTAATCATGGCATCCATCCACTAATGGAATCTCTGACTGTATGGCTTATTGTCACTATGGAAGAAATGGTTTTCATTCTTACACAACGTCCAGGGTCTAGACTTTCAATGAACAAAGAGGGTCTCACTAGACATTGAGAAAATCCAGCATCATTTCCATGTTGAAGGCTTGGAAATATTGTGCTACTAAATCATAAACCTGTAATGCTGTTATCTAGCATGCTATTATCCCTTTTGGATTTTAATGTTCATCAACTATTTCAGTAATACTTGTTCCACTTGAATAAAGAACTTACTACCAAACAAGTAGTGATGGTAGTGTTCTAAAAAGGTTACAATTGCAAGCATTTTTTTGTGATATAGTATCTGGTTTGAAGAACCATACGCATATGATTAGCGTACATGATTGTACATTCTACTTCATTCCATAATTGGAATATCTCTGCTATGCTTCCATTATCGCTGACATCAGTATTTATCAATAATGCATGTTCCTATCATGGATATGCCAACACCAGCGCTTCGACTAAAGTATGCTTCAGGGACTGGAATCTCAACTTTAATTAGAGCTGATCTTAGAGAAATTGGTCACAAATCATTGATAATATAACTCAAAACCTAAGAAACCAAAGACTTCTCACTTGGCCACAAGTATCACTACTATTTTAACAGGATGCAGAAAGATTCCATCTGTACCCAAAGTGTTACCGGGAAAGTCTAATTCTAT